ATGCTGACACAGCTTTTTCTCAAGTTGGGACAGTCCCAGAGCAATGTCAGAATGGATCCCAGTCTTACTTCTTAAGGTAAAGGCTGTCAGTGGCATCTTTGAAACCTCACCTTCCCTTCTTCGATTGAAAATGATGACCTCACAAAGAGTCAAAACTGCCAGTTTAGACCAATGCTTAGACGTTGGCTCACTTATTAGGGTTTGCACATATTCAGGTCGACATACCTCAATATGTGCATGCATGGCTCTAACGTCCTCAGTCAGAGGGAGCAGGTCCGGAGTGTTCCACTTGGCTTGCCGGAGGGTCTGTAGGGCAGCAGAAGAAACACAGACGTCCCACCTCTTCTCAAAAAGCAGCCGGCTTCGTTGGAGGTTTTTAATAAATAGTTCATCAACACAATGCTCCATTTTTGAGTCACATTCAAGAATATCTGCTAGCTTTCTGAGGCTATGGCCGAGTGTTTGAGGGCCAAGGATGGAGTCTTGTATTGATTTGTTTCCTCATCATATCCAGCCACAGACCTGACTGCATCAATCACATGGTTAAAGTTGGAAGGAATAAAGAAATCCTTAATTGTTTTCAGTTTCCCTGCGGTTTTTGCTTCGTTAATTAACCTACCGACTTCTCTCATTTTCTGCCTAATGTAATCATGCTTTGTCTTATCATGCCCGTGTTTTAAGTACAGGTGCTCTCCGAGTCTCAGAATCCCCTTTTCTGCTTTGACAACACCCGTGACCTCATCCTGATGCATTGCCGAAATTAAAGACCACAGCTTTTTGCTGATGCCCTCCGGTACAGGCTGGGCTAGGGAGCAGAGGGACTGGACCCTACTTCTACCTGGTTTAGCCTGGGCATCTTTCTGTGAAAGCCGGCACCTGGCCACATGCCTCCACAGCGACTTTCGCTTAAGCAATGCCCCACAGTCTATACAGTGCAAAAACTCACTGGATTTAACTGGGGAATTTGGCTGTTTAGCTGGGACTAAAGTTCCAATGCCGGCCTTTAAAACCTCAAAATTGTGCTCACGGTTTCCACTATTCCTGATCAAATCAAACTGAAGTTTACGTGCTTTAGATTTCACAGGTAGAGCCAATGCTCTGGCTACGTCACTTTCATTTCCATGTTTTCTAGTCAAATGACGGGACATTTTGTGGCAGGACATTGAACAGTAGAGGCAGAAGTGTCTCTTGCTGTATACTCGCCCCCCATTTTTCTTCTTTTGCAGCTGCATGATAACAATCTTATTTGCCTTTGGTTCGTCACTTTCCGAGTCTTGAAGAAAAGTGTTTTTGATTTTTCTTTTTCCATACTTTTTTACAGGTTTCTTCTTGACAGTTAAATCGTCAGAATCTGAGTCGACTTCATCAATTAGGGACTCTTGACTAAGCTGCACAAACAACAAATAATTTGTAATCATTCTATATAAACAATTTGAAGGTCATGACTTGTAGTCAGCACTTACCAGTGGTTTGTAAGCGTGCGCTTCAGTGTGCTCCTCCATGATTTCTTGCAGCCTAATGAACCACACACTTGCACCTTTTTCTAGCCTGACACCTGATTTCCTCTGTTGTGCTGCTCCATGATTGGCTCCAGCCTGCTGGACTGAAATTGCCCCAGTGTGCCCCTCCTTGATATCCCGCAACCCACCACCAGGGTTCCGACACATAACACACTTTTTTCAGGAAAGTAAACCTCCAGGGGTCCTTTCCATATTTTTACAGAGACTGCATAAGGACCGTTAGAAAAGCATTACCCATTGATTATTAAGCTTGGACCAGTGGGGTCCGGTGTTCGGGCCCCACCACGTAAAACCAGTCCCCATGACGTGAGTGGAATCTCAGGTAAACATACTGCTGCTAATGTACAGATGCTAACATACTGCTGCTAATGTACAGGTGTAAACATACTGCTGCTAATGTACAGGTGTAAACATACTGCTGCTAATGTACAGGTGTAAACATACTGCTGCTAATGTACAGGTGTAAACATACTGCTGCTAATGCACAGGTGTAAACATACTGCTGCTAATGTACAGGTGTAAACATACTGCTGCTAATGTACAGATGCTAACATACTGCTGCTAATGTACAGGTGTAAACATACTGCTGCTAATGCACAGGTGTAAACATACTGCTGCTAATGTACAGGTGTAAACATACTGCTGCTAATGCACAGGTGTAAACATACTGCTGCTAATGTACAGGTGTAAACATACTGCTGCTAATGTACAGATGTAAACATACTGCTGCTAATGTACAGATGTAAACATACAGCTGCTAATGTACAGGTGTAAACATACAGCTGCTAATGTACAGGTGTAAACATACTGCTGCTAATGTACAGATGTAAACATACTGCTGCTAATGTACAGATGTAAACATACTGCTGCTAACATGTACAGATGTAAACATACTGCTGCTAATGTACAGGTGTAAACATACTGCTGCTAATGTACAGATGTAAACATACTGCTGCTAATGTACAGGTGTAAACATACTGCTGCTAACATGTACAGATGTAAACATACTGCTGCTAATGTACAGATGTAAACATACTGCTGCTAACATGTACAGATGTAAACATACTGCTGCTAATGTACAGGTGTAAACATACTGCTGCTAATGTACAGATGTAAACATACTGCTGCTAATGTACAGATGTAAACATACAGCTGCTAATGTACAGGTGTAAACATACAGCTGCTAATGTACAGGTGTAAACATACTGCTGCTAATGTACAGATGTAAACATACTGCTGCTAATGTACAGATGTAAACATACTGCTGCTAACATGTACAGATGTAAACATACTGCTGCTAATGTACAGGTGTAAACATACTGCTGCTAATGTACAGATGTAAACATACTGCTGCTAATGTACAGGTGTAAACATACTGCTGCTAACATGTACAGATGTAAACATACTGCTGCTAATGTACAGATGTAAACATACTGCTGCTAACATGTACAGATGTAAACATACTGCTGCTAATGTACAGGTGTAAACATACTGCTGCTAACATGTACAGATGTAAACATACTGCTGCTAATGTACAGATGTAAACATACTGCTGCTAATGCACAGGTGTAAACATACTGCTGCTAATGTACAGGTGTAAACATACTGCTGCTAATGTACAGGTGTAAACATACTGCTGCTAATGCACAGGTGTAAACATACTGCTGCTAATGTACAGGTGTAAACATACTGCTGCTAATGTACAGATGCTAACATACTGCTGCTAATGTACAGGTGTAAACATACTGCTGCTAATGCACAGGTGTAAACATACTGCTGCTAATGTACAGGTGTAAACATACTGCTGCTAATGCACAGGTGTAAACATACTGCTGCTAATGTACAGGTGTAAACATACTGCTGCTAATGTACAGATGTAAACATACTGCTGCTAATGTACAGATGTAAACATACAGCTGCTAATGTACAGGTGTAAACATACAGCTGCTAATGTACAGGTGTAAACATACTGCTGCTAATGTACAGATGTAAACATACTGCTGCTAATGTACAGATGTAAACATACTGCTGCTAACATGTACAGATGTAAACATACTGCTGCTAATGTACAGGTGTAAACATACTGCTGCTAATGTACAGATGTAAACATACTGCTGCTAATGTACAGGTGTAAACATACTGCTGCTAACATGTACAGATGTAAACATACTGCTGCTAATGTACAGATGTAAACATACTGCTGCTAACATGTACAGATGTAAACATACTGCTGCTAATGTACAGGTGTAAACATACTGCTGCTAATGTACAGATGTAAACATACTGCTGCTAATGTACAGATGTAAACATACAGCTGCTAATGTACAGGTGTAAACATACAGCTGCTAATGTACAGGTGTAAACATACTGCTGCTAATGTACAGATGTAAACATACTGCTGCTAATGTACAGATGTAAACATACTGCTGCTAACATGTACAGATGTAAACATACTGCTGCTAATGTACAGGTGTAAACATACTGCTGCTAATGTACAGATGTAAACATACTGCTGCTAATGTACAGGTGTAAACATACTGCTGCTAACATGTACAGATGTAAACATACTGCTGCTAATGTACAGATGTAAACATACTGCTGCTAACATGTACAGATGTAAACATACTGCTGCTAATGTACAGGTGTAAACATACTGCTGCTAATGTACAGATGTAAACATACTGCTGCTAATGTACAGGTGTAAACATACTGCTGCTAATGTACAGATGTAAACATACTGCTGCTAATGTACAGATGTAAACATAACTATACTTTGCTTGCACTAGAATACACAGTACTTTATACTTTCCTCTTATTTTTCCAAATGTAAAACTTTTACACTTCTTTTTATATTATTATTATACTCAAGATAGATTTTATACTTGTTATTTGATGCTAGTTTTGTTTTATTTTAATTTAGAATAGCTATTGTTCACTTATCTTGTGCCGTGTGCTCCTCTTTTCTATCGTTCTATAACTTGTGATACAACACTGACATTTCCCCACTGTGGGACAAATAAATGATCTCTTAATCACTCAGTCGTCTTTCATTTCACACGGTTTGCTGGTAATGAGCCTCCCTCCCAAGGCAAGAATCCCAGACAGTTAGCATAGATTATAGAAATGAGGACTGGTCAGCCTGGTAAAAAGTACGTCACATTAGCATAGCATTAGCATACACATTAGCATAGTCATTAGCATACACATTAGCATGCAGTTTGCCGTTAGGGTCCAGACCAGAAATGACAACCACACATGTCCGTGTTTTCCACAGAACCCAAACTGGTCCGGTCTGTGCTTATCCAGAGCTGTTCAAATTGGCATTTCATTCAAAAAACAAACAAAAGAACACATTTGGAGCCTTTAATTTTACAATCAGCATCAACTTGACATGAACTCAGAGCAGACGAGGAACGAGCTGGACTCCTCCCCTGACCCTTGACCCCTGACCCCTCCCCCCAGGCGCCCTCTGCCCCCAGATCACGTGGTGCCGAACAGAGTCAGCAGTCCTTTCACAAACGACACAATCTCGTTTCCTCCCAGTTTGGATTCACCGTAAACTCTGTCCACGAATGAGATGGGCACCTGCAGACAGAGAGACTTTAGACCAAACCCAGAGAGAGAGACCAGAGAGAGAGAGACCAGAGAGAGAGAGAGACCAGAGAGAGAGAGACCAGAGAGAGAGAAACCAGAGAGAGAGAGACCAGAGAGAGAGAAACCAGAGAGAGAGAGACCAGAGAGAGAGAGACCAGAGAGAGAGAGAGACCAGAGAGAGAGAGACCAGAGAGAGAGACCAGAGAAAGAGTCCAGAGAGAGAGAAAGACCGGAGAGAGACCACAGAGAGAGAGCGACCAGAGAGAGAGAAACCAGAGAGAGAGACCAGAGAGAGAGAAAGACCGGAGAGAGAGAGACCAGAGAGAGAGAAACCAGAGAGAGAGACCAGAGAGAGAGAGACCAGAGAGAGAGAAAGAGAGAGAAACAGAGAGAGAGAGAGACCAGAGAGTGAGAAACCAGAGAGAGAGAGACCAGAGACCAGAGAGAGAGAGAGACCGGAGAGAGAGAGAGACCGGAGAGAGAGAGACCAGAGAGAGAGAGACCAGAGAGAGAGACCAGAGAGAGAGACCAGAGAAAGAGTCCAGAGAGAGAGAAAGACCGGAGAGAGACCACAGAGAGAGAGAGACCAGAGAAAGAGACCAGAGAGAGACCACAGAGAGAGACCAGAGAGAGAGACCAGAGAGAGACCAGAGAGAGAGACCAGAGAGAGACCAGAGAGAGAGAGAGACCAGAGAGAGAGAGACCAGAGAGAGAGAAACCAGAGAGAGAGAGACCAGAGAGAGAGAGACCAGAGAGAGAGACCAGAGAAAGAGTCCAGAGAGAGAGAAAGACCGGAGAGAGACCACAGAGAGAGAGACCAGAGAAAGAGACCAGAGAGAGACCACAGAGAGAGACCAGAGAGAGAGACCAGAGAGAGACCAGAGAGAGAGACCAGAGAGAGACCAGAGAGAGAGAGAGACCAGAGAGAGAGAGACCAGAGAGAGAGAAACCAGAGAGAGAGAGACCAGAGAGAGAGAGACCAGAGAGAGAGAGAGACCAGAGAGAGAGAGAGACCAGAGAGAGAAACCAGAGAGAGAGAGACCAGAGAGAGAGAGAGACCAGAGAGAGAGAGACCAGAGAGAGAGAGACCAGAGAGAGAGAGAGACCAGAGAGAGAGACCAGAGAGAGAGAGACCAGAGAGAGAGACCAGAGAAAGAGAAAGACCAGAGAGAGAGAGACCAGAGAGAGAGAGAGACCAGAGAGAGAGAAAGACCAGAGAGAGAGAGAGACCAGAGAGAGAGAAAGACCAGAGAGAGAGAGACCAGAGAGAGAGAAAGACCGGAGAGAGAGAGAGACCGGAGAGAGAGACCAGAGAAAGAGTCCAGAGAGAGAGAAAGACCGGAGAGAGACCACAGAGAGAGAGAGACCAGAGAGAGAGAAACCAGAGAGAGAGACCAGAGAGAGAGAAAGACCGGAGAGAGAGAGACCAGAGAGAGAGAAACCAGAGAGAGAGACCAGAAAGAGAGAAAGACCGGAGAGAGAGAGACCAGAGAGAGAGAAACCAGAGAGAGAGACCAGAGAGAGAGAAAGACCGGAGAGAGAGAGACCAGAGAGAGAGAGAGACCGGAGAGAGAGAGAGACCGGAGAGAGAGAGACCAGAGAGAGAGACCAGAGAAAGAGTCCAGAGAGAGAGAAAGACCGGAGAGAGACCACAGAGAGAGAGAGACCAGAGAAAGAGACCAGAGAGAGACCACAGAGAGAGACCACAGAGGGAGCAGAGAGAGACCAGAGAGAGAGACCAGAGAGAGAGAGACCACAGAAAGAGACCAGAGAAAGAGAACAGAGAGAGACCAGAGAGAGAGAGAGACTTTAGACTGAACCCAGAGAGCGAGACCAGAGACAGAGACCAGAGAGAGAGACCAAGAGAGAGAGACCAGAGAGACCAGAGAGAGAGACAGAGAGACCAGAGAGAGACCAGAGAGAGAGAGAGACCAGAGAGAGACCGGAGAGAGAGAGTGAGAGACCAGAGAGAGAGACAGAGAGACCAAGAGAGAGAGAGACCGGAGAGAGAGAGTGAGAGACCAGAGAGAGAGACAGAGAGACCAAGAGAGAGAGAGACCGGAGAGAGAGACCAGAGAGAGACCATTGTGGACATGTGCTAAGAGATATGGGAATTTGTTTCATGTGGATTGTTCCTGGAATAAGAGAAATTAGCGACAAAGACTAGATTCTGACTACCGCAGTTACTATAGTTACCACAGTAACCGCAGTTACTATAATTACCACAGTTACTATAGTTACCACAGTTACAATAAGTTACTATAGTTCAAACAGTTACAAGTAAGTAAGTAAGCTTTTATTTATATACCGCCTTTTCACTGCACATCGGAGTCTCAAAGCGGTTTACAATTGTTATTTTTTTGGGAGTGGGGGTGCCACTACAGGAGGCACATGCCATACCTATTGTACATATTTTTTAGTGGTAGGGGAAACCGGAGCACCCGGAGGAAACCTACGCAGACACGGGGAGAACATGCAAACTCCACTCAGAAAGGCCCTGGTCCAACCGGGATTTGAACCCAGGACCTTCTTGCTGAGAGGCGAGAGTGCTATCCACTCAGCCACCGTGCCGAGTGGATAGCTTACAATAACTTACAATAAGTTACTATAGTTCAAACAGTTACTAAAGCTACTAAAGTTACCACAGTTACTATAGTTACCACAGTTACCACAATTACCATAGTTACCACAGTTACTATAGTTACCACAGTTACTATAGTTACCAGAGTTACTATAGTTACCACAATTACCATAGTTACCACAGTTACTATAGTTACCAAAGTTACTATAGTTACCAGAGTTACTATAGTTACCACAGTTACCAGTTACTATAGTTACCACAGTTGCTATAGTTACCACAGTTACTATAGTTACCACAGTTACGATAGTTACCACAGTTACCACAGTTACTATAGTTACCACAGTTACCACAATTACCATAGTTACCAGGAGCGATCTCTCAGCTGCTGCACCACAGCCTGAAACTATCGCTCTTTGGAGCGTGTGATGTCACATGGACACTAACTGTCAGTGTTATTAAAGTCGTACTTCTCCGATGGAGTAGTTCTTCTGCCGCGCTCGGACCACCATCTCCATCTGGAACACGTATCCTTTAGACACACAGCACTGGACCAGGCTCTCCAGGACATGCTTCTTATACAGCCTGCAACACAGGGACTCAGGGTGACCTCTGACCCCTGGGGACCTCTGACCAATCAGGAGGCTGTGTGAGCGACTGACCTGAAGCTGCCAGTGAGGTCAGAGGCTCCGGGACGCAACAAGACCTGAGTCAGGAAGTTCGCCCCTCGACTGTGGACAGAGACACACGTTACACACTCTAGACCTGTGGACCAGTCCCAGTCTGACCCTGGACTCCTCTAGACCTGTGGACCAGTCCCAGTCTGACCCTGGACTCCTCTAGACCTGTGGACCAGTCCCAGTCTGACCCTGGACTCCTCTAGACCTGTGGACCAGTCCCAGTCTGACCCTGGACTCCTCTAGACCTGTGGACCAGTCCCAGTCTGACCCTGGACTCCTCTAGACCTGTGGACCAGTCCCAGTCTGACCCTGGACTCCTCTAGACCTGTGGACCAGTCCCAGTCTGACCCTGGACTCCTCTAGACCTGTGGACCAGTCCCAGTCTGACCCTGGACTCCTCTAGACCTGTGGACCAGGACTCAGCAGAGAACAGACATTTTGTCACAGATGTAATAGTCTCACCTTATGAGCTTGCGGCGCAGGTCCCAGCCGTAGACCCCGCCCTTCCCACTGTACCTCGTCCCTGAGACCAGGTCCAGGTCTCCAGCTTTCTGAGTCCTGGGATAACCACAGAGACAGTAGTGTGTTAGAGGTGACCCCTGAGCCTTGACCTATGACCCCTGACCTGTGACCCTTAGCCTCACCTGATGAACTCTGGGATGAACTTGGGCTGGAAACACACAGTAGTTTATTTAAAAACATCTGACACAGAGAAATGGATCATATTTACAAATGTACAAGACAAAATGAACCAATACCAGAGGTCAGACTCGGACCTAGCCTGGTCTTACCATGTGTAAACTCTGGTCCACGATCATACATGTATTTATTATTATTTATTATTATTTGTTCACAAACATAAGTTGAATCCACATCTTTTACAAAAACATTTAGGTTTGTGAAGGGACTCCCATGAAGCACAATTGGCTTATATGTAGGGGCCCCAATAACATTTACATGGAAAAAAACACAGGACAACAAAAAAGACATCCTCCCACAAGCTCCCCCCACCCCCCCCCCCACCTATACATAATGCTTTAGATTGTATACTACATTATACATAATGCTTTAGATTGTATACTACATTATACATAATGCTTTAGATTGTATACTACATTATACATAATGCTTTAGATTGTATACTACATTATACATAATGCTTTAGATTGTATACTACATTATACATAATGCTTTAGATTGTATACTACATTATACATAATGCTTTAGATTGTATACTACATTATACATAATGCAAGCATTATGAAAACTGTTGCACTCAGTCAGCTTCAGTAGCTTCAACCTGTAAAAGAGAGGATCAGAGGGAGCATCATATTTAGACCAAGCAATAACACAAATTAATTTCTTTTGCAGAATCTGTAGCTTTTCAAGGTGGCTTGGATACGTACCATATTGCATTACAATAATGAAGGTGTGGTTCAAATACAGACCGGTATAGAGTTAGGAGAGCTTCAAGGGTAGATAATGTCTCAATTTGAGAAAGAGACCAACATATTTAGATAGTTTATTAATTAGGTAATCTATGTGTTTTTTAAAGTTCAAGAATTCATCCAGATATATTCCTAAAAATGTGATATTCTCTACTCTCTCAAGAACTCTTCCATTAATTTGTATTTTAATACTTTCAATGTCTTTCCAGCTTCTATTTGAACGGAATATTGTAAAGTTGGTACGTCTGGTCTTACCATGTGTAAACTCTGGTCCATGATCATCTCCTACATGTACGTCTGGTCTTACCATGTGTAAACTCTGGTCCATGGTCATTTCCTACATGTACGTCTGGTCTTACCATGTGTAAACTCTGGTCCATGATCATTTCCTACATGTACGTCTGGTCTTACCATGTGTAAACTCTGGTCCATGATCATTTCCTACATGTACGTCTGGGTCTTACCATGTGTAAACTCTGGTCCATGATCATCTCCTACATGTACGTCTGGTCTTACCATGTGTAAACTCTGGTCCATGATCATCTCCTACATGTACGTCTGGGTCTTACCATGTGTAAACTCTGGTCCATGATCATTTCCTGAATGTACGTCTGGGTCTTACCATGTGTAAACTCTGGTCCATGATCATCTCCTACATGTACGTCTGGTCTTACCATGTGTAAACTCTGGTCCATGATCATCTCCTACATGTACGTCTGGTCTTACCATGTGTAAACTCTGGTCCATGATCATTTCCTACATGTACGTCTGGTCTTACCATGTGTAAACTCTGGTCCATGATCATTTCCTACATGTGCGTCTGGTCTTACCATGTGTAAACTCTGGTCCATGGTCATTTCCTACATGTACGTCTGGTCTTACCATGTGTAAACTCTGGTCCATGATCATTTCCTACATGTGCGTCTGGTCTTACCATGTGTAAACTCTGGTCCATGGTCATTTCCTACATGTACGTCTGGTCTTACCATGTGTAAACTCTGGTCCATGGTCATTTCCTACATGTACGTCTGGTCTTACCATGTGTAAACTCTGGTCCATGATCATTTCCTGAATGTACATCTGGGTCTTACCATGTGTAAACTCTGGTCCATGATCATCTCCTACATGTACGTCTGGTCTTACCATGTGTAAACTCTGGTCCATGATCATCTCCTACATGTACGTCTGGTCTTACCATGTGTAAACTCTGGTCCATGATCATTTCCTACATGTACGTCTGGTCTTACCATGTGTAAACTCTGGTCCATGGTCATTTCCTACATGTACGTCTGGTCTTACCATGTGTAAACTCTGGTCCATGATAATTTCCTACATGTACGTCTGGTCTTACCATGTGTAAACTCTGGTCCATGATCATCTCCTACATGTACGTCTGGTCTTACCATGTGTAAACTCTGGTCCATGATCATCTCCTACATGTACGTCTGGTCTTACCATGTGTAAACTCTGGTCCATGATCATTTCCTACATGTACGTCTGGTCTTACCATGTGTAAACTCTGGTCCATGATCATCTCCTACATGTACGTCTGGTCTTACCATGTGTAAACTCTGGTCCATGATCATTTGCTACATGTACGTCTGGTCTTACCATGTGTAAACTCTGGTCCATGATCATCTCCTACATGTACGTCTGGTCTTACCATGTGTAAACTCTGGTCCATGGTCATTTCCTACATGTACGTCTGGTCTTACCATGTGTAAACTCTGGTCCATGGTCATTTCCTACATGTACGTCTGGTCTTACCATGTGTAAACTCTGGTCCATGATCATTTCCTACATGTACGTCTGGTCTTACCATGTGTAAACTCTGGTCCATGGTCATTTCCTACATGTACGTCTGGTCTTACCATGTGTAAATTCTGGTCCATGATCATTTCCTACATGTACGTCTGGTCTTACCATGTGTAAACTCTGGTCCATGATCATCTCCTACATGTACGTCTGGTCTTACCATGTGTAAACTCTGGTCCATGGTCATTTCCTACATGTACGTCTGGTCTTACCATGTGTAAACTCTGGTCCATGATCATTTCCTACATGTACGTCTGGTCTTACCATGTGTAAACTCTGGTCCATGATCATCTCCTACATGTACGTCTGGTCTCACCATGTGTAAACTCTGGTCCATGATCATTTCCTACATGTACGTCTGGTCTTACCATGTGTAAACTCTGGTCCATGATCATCTCCTACATGTACGTCTGGTCTCACCATGTGTAAACTCTGGTCCATGATCATTTCCTACATGTACGTCTGGTCTTACCATGTGTAAACTCTGGTCCATGATCATCTCCTACATGTACGTCTGGTCTTACCATGTGTAAACTCTGGTCCATGGTCATTTCCTACATGTACGTCTGGGTCTGATCCTAGTGGCTGCAGTTTCCTCAGTTGAATCCCCTCTGACCAATCAGAGAGCGGGGGAGGCGGGTGTTGTAGGTCGGTGTCGGTGACGTCAAGAGTTTGTGCTGAATTTACTGGTTGTAGTTTGTCGGAGAATGCGATAGTAAAATAATCTGTTCTGGTTCAATCCAAATATCAAGAAACTGAAGCCGGAGAAAGAGGAATGTTTAGTAAATGTATTTGTTGCAAAGATGTTGTGGCTCTACTCCCCACGGGCTCCGTTAGCGGCAACAAAGATGGCTAATGCTAAGCTAAATGCTAAAGCTAGGCTAAATGCTAAATGCCTCACTCACTCGGGCTCATTACATACGTCACAGTAAACTCAGATCCAATGGTTTCAATCTGCAAAAGGAGTTAGCCCCTCCCACCTGTTAACGGAGACAATGGAGCAGATCCAGACCTTAGTACGAAATGAAATGAGTACGATGGTGTGATAAGACCAGGCTAACTCGGACCTAATGTGGCCTGACCTCTGACCCCTGGTGCACATACGTGGTGCGAGAGATCGGCGTCCATGATGAAGATGAAGTTGCCCGTGGCGTGTTTGATGCCGTGGATGTAAGCCGTCCCTTTAACACAGGAGACAGGTCAGGTCCCGTTAACTGCACACACATGTTGTTTAGACCCGTGTCGCCTTCTCACCACAGAGAAGAGACCAGGGAGAGAGACCGGAGAGAGACCAGAGGGAGAGAGAGACCGGAGAGAGACCAGAGGGAGAGAGAGACCAGAGGTAGAGAGAGACCAGAGGTAGAGAGAGACCGGAGGTAGAGAGAGACCGGAGGGAGAGAGAGACCGGAGGTAGAGAGAGACCAGAGGTAGAGAGAGACCAGAGGTAGAGAGAGACCAGAGGGAGAGAGAGACCAGAGGTAGAGAGAGACCAGAGGTAGAGAGAGACCAGAGGGAGAGAGAGACCAGAGGGAGAGAGAGACCAGAGGTAGAGAGAGACCAGAGGTAGAGAGAGACCGGAGGTAGAGAGAGACCGGAGGTAGAGAGAGACCAGAGGGAGAGAGAGACCAGTATTTTCCACAAAAACAACTTTCTAAAGGAAAGAGCAGGACATGCAACAGCTCAAACTTTGAGTTGTGTGTGTGTGTGTGTGTGTCTGTGTGTGTCTGTGTGTGTGTCTGTGTGTGTGTGTGTCTGTGTCTGTGTGTGTCTGTGTGTTTGTGTGTGTGTGTGTGTGTCTGTGTGTGCCTGTGTGTGTGTCTGTATGTGTCTGTGTGTGTCTGTGTGTGTGTGTGTGTCTGTGTGTGTCTGTGTCTTCATCTGACCCAATGTAGCAGCTTTAAGGAGTGTGCACTCACCTAGTCCCAGTTTCTGAGCTCGAGGACGAAGCAGCTGTGGACAAACCAGGACAGAGTTAGAGACCAGAGAGAGACCAGAGAGAGAGACCAGAGAGAGACCAGAAAGAGACCAGAGAGAGAGACCAGAGAGAGAGACCAGAGATAGACCAGAGAGAGACCAGAGAGAGACCAGAAAGAGACCAGAGAGACCAGAGAGAGAGAGACCAGAGAGAGAGACCAGAAAGAGACCAGAGAGAGACCAGAGAGAGACCAGAAAGAGACCAGAGAGAGACCAGAGAGAGACCAGAGAGAGACCAGAAAGAGACCAGAGAGAGAGACCAGAAAGAGACCAGAGAGAGACCAGAGAGAGACCAGAAAGAGACCAGAGAGAGAGACCAGAGAGAGAGACCAGAGAGAGAGACCAGAGAGAGACCAGAGAGAGAGACCAGAGAGAGACCAGAGAGAGACCAGAGAGAGAGACCAGAGAGAGAGACCAGAGAGAGACCAGAGAGAGACCAGAAAGAGACCAGAGAGAGAGACCAGAAAGAGACCAGAAAGAGACCAGAGAGAGACCAGAGAGAGAGACCAGAGAGAGAGACCAGAGAGAGACCAGAGAGAGAGAGACCAGAGAGAGAGACCAGAGAGAGAGACCAGAAAGAGACCAGAGAGAGACCAGAGAGAGACCAGAAAGAGACCAGAGAGAGAGACCAGAGAGAGAGACCAGAGAGAGAGACCAGAGAGAGACCAGAGAGAGAGACCAGAGAGAGAGACCAGAGAGAGAGACCAGAGAGAGACCAGAGAGAGAGACCAGAGAGAGAGACCAGAGAGAGAGACCAGAGAGAGACCAGAGAGAGAGACCAGAGAGAGAGACCAGAGAGAGAGACCAGAGAGAGACCAGAGAGAGAGACCAGAGAGAGACCAGAGAGAGACCAGAGAGAGAGACCAGAGAGAGAGACCAGAGAGAGACCAGAGAGAGACCAGAGAGAGAGACCAGAAAGAGACCAGAGAGAGACCAGAGAGAGACCAGAGAGAGACCAGAGAGAGAGACCAGAGAGAGACCAGAGAGAGACCAGAGAGAGAGACCAGAGAGAGAGACCAGAGAGAGACCAGAGAGAGACCAGAAAGAGACCAGAGAGAGAGACCAGAAAGAGACCAGAGAGAGACCAGAGAGAGACCAGAAAGAGACCAGAGAGAGAGACCAGAGAGAGAGACCAGAGAGAGAGACCAGAGAGAGACCAGAGAGAGAGACCAGAGAGAGACCAGAGAGAGACCAGAGAGAGAGACCAGAGAGAGAGACCAGAGAGAGACCAGAGAGAGACCAGAAAGAGACCAGAGAGAGAGACCAGAAAGAGACCAGAAAGAGACCAGAGAGAGACCAGAGAGAGAGACCAGAGAGAGAGACCAGAGAGAGACCAGAGAGAGAGACCAGAGAGAGAGACCAGAGAGAGAGACCAGAAAGAGACCAGAGAGAGACCAGAGAGAGACCAGAAAGAGACCAGAGAGAGAGACCAGAGAGAGAGACCAGAGAGAGAGACCAGAGAGAGACCAGAGAGAGAGACCAGAGAGAGAGACCAGAGAGAGACCAGAGAGAGACCAGAGAGAGAGACCAGAGAGAGAGACCAGAGAGAGAGACCAGAGAGAGACCAGAGAGAGAGACCAGAGAGAGAGACCAGAGAGAGAGACCAGAGAGAGACCAGAGAGAGAGACCAGAGAGAGACCAGAGAGAGACCAGAGAGAGACCAGAGAGAGAGACCAGAGAGAGAGACCAGAGAGAGACCAGAGAGAGACCAGAGAGAGAGACCAGAAAGAGACCAGAGAGAGACCAGAGAGAGACCAGAGAGAGACCAGAGAGAGAGACCAGAGAGAGACCAGAGAGAGACCAGAGAGAGAGACCAGAGAGAGAGACCAGAGAGAGACCAGAGAGAGACCAGAAAGAGACCAGAGAGAGAGACCAGAAAGAGACCAGAGAGAGACCAGAGAGAGACCAGAAAGAGACCAGAGAGAGAGACCAGAGAGAGAGACCAGAGAGAGACCAGAGAGAGACCAGAGAGAGAGACCAGAGAGAGACCAGAGAGAGACCAGAGAGAGAGACCAGAGAGAGAGACCAGAGAGAGAGACCAGAGAGAGACCAGAGAGAGATCAGAGAGAGACCAGAGAGAGAGACCAGAGAGAGACCAGAGAGAGACCAGAGAGAGACCAGAGAGAGACCAGAGAGAGACCAGAGAGAGAGACCAGAGAGAGAGACCAGAGAGAGAGACCAGAGAGAGACCAGAGAGAGATCAGAGAGAGACCAGAGAGAGAGACCAGAAAGAGACCAGAGAGAGACCAGAGAGAGACCAGAGAGAGACCAGAGAGAGACCAGAGAGAGACCAGAGAGAGACCAGAGAGAGACAGAGAGAGACCAGAGAGAGACCAGAGAGAGACCAGAGAGAGACCAGAGAGAGACCAGAGAGAGACCAGAGAGAGCCCAGAGAGAGACCAGAGAGAGAGACCAGAGAGAGACCAGAGAGAGACCAGAGAGAGAGACCAGAGAGAGAGACCAGAGAGAGAGACCAGAGAGAGACTAGAGAGAGAGAACAGAGAGAGACCAGAGAGCGAGACCAGAGAGAGAGACCAGAGAGAGACCAGAGAGAGACCAGAGAGAGAGACCAGAGAGAGACCAGAAAGAGACCAGAGAGAGAGACCAGAGAGAGACCAGAAAGAGCCCAGAGAGAGAGACCAGAGAGAGAGACCAGAGATAGACCAGAGAGAGACCAGAGAGAGACCAGAGAGAGACCAGAAAGAGACCAGAGAGAGAGACCAGAGAGAGAGACCAGAGAGAGAGACCAGAGAGAGACCAGAGAGAGACCAGAGAGAGACCAGAAAGAGACCAGAGAGAGAGACCAGAGAGAGAGACCAGAGAGAGAGACCAGAGAGAGACCAGAAAGAGACCAGAGAGAGAGACCAGAGAGAGACCAGAGAGAGAGACCAGAAAGAGAGACCAGAAAGAGACCAGAAAGAGACCAGAGAGAGACCAGAGACCAGAGAGAGACCAGAGAGAGACCAGAGAGAGAGAGACCAGAAAGAGAGACCAGAAAGAGACCAGAAAGAGACCAGAGAGAGACCAGAGACCAAAGAGAGACCAGAGAGAGACCAGAGAGAGACCAGAGACCAAAGAGAGACCAGAGAGAGACCAGAGAGAGGTTGGTGAACTTACAATCTTGTCTTCTCCGTAGATCTCCTGCAGCTGCTGAGCCACCTGCAGAGTCCCGTCTGGGCTGCCGTCGTCGATCACGATGATCTCATAGTTATAACCACTGTCACAACCAAACAATACACACCAGTCTGTCACACCTCATAGCATAGCCTAGCATAGCAAAGCATAGCATAGCATAGCATAGCATAGCATAGCATAGCATAGCATAGCATAGCATAGCATAGCATATAAAACAAACATACAGTCGTTACTTTTAACATTTGAAGCTTCTAAACAGACTTTTTATTTCCAGTTGTTTCCTGTTTTGTTAGTTTTATTTCTGTACTTGTCTGGTGCACACTGAGGACTTTTGCGGAGGTATTCCAATGTGGTTTTACTGCATGTGGCAAATAAATGAATCTGATCTGAGGTTCAAACATGTTGGTCTCTGAGGTCACAGTTCATCCAAGACTCAAAGTTTATGATCATAAATAACCACAGCACATTCATAAAACCAAGGTTCAGCTTTTACCAAACTGTATTTTAGTAACTGCACTGTGAGTCAAAGGTACGAACGAGGATTTTCTACTTCCAGTGGATCATCAAGACTATTGGTCCTCCCAATTTGAATCATTCTGGTGATACGTGCTCGTCCAATAAGAGCAGATACTAGAGCAGAGACTAGAGCAGACACTAGAGCAGAGTCTAGAGCAGACACTGGAGCAGACCCTAGAGCAGAGACTGGAGTAGACCCTAGAGCAGAGACTAGAGCAGACCCTAGAGCAGAGACTAGAGCAGAGACTAGAGCAGACACTAGAGCAGACACTAGAGCAGACCCTAGAGCAGAGACTAGAGCAGACACTAGAGCAGACACTAGAGCAGACACTAGAGCAGACACTAGAGCAGAGACTAGAGCAGACCCTAGAGCAGAGACTAGAGCAGGCACTAGAGCAGACACTAGAGCAGCCACTAGAGCAGCCACTAGAGCAGCCACTAGAGCAGACACTAGAGCAGAGACTAGAGCAGAGACTAGAGCAGACACTAGAGCAGAGACTAGAGCAGACCCTAGAGCAGAGACTAGAGCAGGCACTAGAGCAGACACTAGAGCAGCCACTAGAGCAGCCACTAGAGCAGCCACTAGAGCAGAGACTAGAGCTGACACTAGAGCAGAGACCTAGAGCAGACACTAGAGCAGAGACTAGAGCAGACACTAGAGCAGACCCTAGAGCAGAGACTAAAGCAGAGACTAGAGCAGACACTAGAGCAGACACTAGAGCAGAGACTAGAGCAGACACTAGAGCAGACCCTAGAGCAGACACTAGAGCAGACACTAGAGCAGACACTAGAGCAGACCCTAGAGCAGACACTAGAGCAGAGACTAGAGCAGACCCTAGAGCAGAGACTAAAGCAGAGACTAGAGCAGACACTAGAGCAGACACTAGAGCAGACACTAGAGCAGACACTAGAGCAGACCCTAGAGCAGACACTAGAGCAGACCCTAGAGCAGACACTAGAGCAGACACTAGAGCAGAGACTAGAGCAGAGACCTAGAGCAGACCCTAGAGCAGAGACTAGAGCAGAGACCTAGAGCAGAGACTAGAGCAGAGACTAGAGCAGACACTAGAGCAGACACTAGAGCAGACCCTAGAGCAGAGACTAGAGCAGAGACCTAGAGCAGACCCTAGAGCAGAGACCTAGAGCAGAGACTAGAGCAGACACTAGAGCAGAGACCTAGAGCAGAGACTAGAGCAGAGACCTAGAGCAGACCCTAGAGCAGAGACCTAGAGCAGAGACTAGAGCAGACACTAGAGCAGAGACTAGAGCAGACCCTAGAGCAGAGACTAAAGCAGAGACTAGAGCAGACACTAGAGCAGACACTAGAGCAGACACTAGAGCAGACACTAGAGCAGACCCTAGAGCAGACACTAGAGCAGACCCTAGAGCAGACACTAGAGCAGAGACTAAAGCAGAGACTAGAGCAGACACTAGAGCAGACACTAGAGCAGACACTAGAGCAGAGACTAGAGCAGAGACCTAGAGCAGACCCTAGAGCAGAGACTAGAGCAGAGACCTAGAGCAGAGACTAGAGCAGAGACTAGAGCAGACACTAGAGCAGACACTAGAGCAGACACTAGAGCAGACACTAGAGCAGACACTAGAGCAGACACTAGAGCAGACCCTAGAGCAGAGACTAGAGCAGAGACCTAGAGCAGACCCTAGAGCAGAGACTAGAGCAGAGACTAGAGCAGACACTAGAGCAGACACTAGAGCAGACCCTAGAGCAGAGACTAGAGCAGAGACCTAGAGCAGACCCTAGAGCAGAGACCTAGAGCAGAGACTAGAGCAGACACTAGAGCAGAGACCTAGAGCAGAGACTAGAGCAGAGACCTAGAGCAGACCCTAGAGCAGAGACCTAGAGCAGAGACTAGAGCAGACACTAGAGCAGAGACCTAGAGCAGAGACTAGAGCAGAGACCTAGAGCAGACCCTAGAGCAGACACTAGAGCAGACCCTAGAGCAGACCCTAGAGCAGACCCTAGAGCAGACACTAGACCCCAGGGCTGTCGCGGCTCACACGCACCTCTCCTCGAAGGACTTCACCAGGAGCCACACGATCAGCGGCAGGTTCTCCCGCTCGTTGTACGTCGGTAAAAGCACCGAGTATTTGTCCCCCTGGTCCCTGGACTGAGGCCCCTGTCTCCGGCTCGACATGACGCGCTCCACCGGTGATAGAACCAGAGCTGAAGAAACTGACTTGGCTTAGCTTAGCATACAACTTCCGGGTTCAGAACAAAACATCCGGTTACGCTTTTCAAAACAAGACGACGTTCAGAACAAAAGTCAAAGATCATAAACCGTTATAACCGTAACCAAGCTTTAAACATGTGTTATTTATGAGACTAAAGTTACAGACCTCAGCTTTAAACATGTGTTATTTATGAGACTAAAGTTACAGACCTGAGCTTTACTTTTTTAACACAAACTCGACACAAAACACAATATTTGTTCTGGATTCTTTATTTAAAACCAGTGGTTTTTAAATGGTATAAAGATCGTGTACAAAAGACATCAGTAAAACTCTTATTTTCATGTAAACATATGTAACAATATAAAATAATCTAAAATCGTAATAATAATAATAATAATATATAAATAATATAAAGAGTGTAAACAGGACGTTTCCATCGGAGGAAACAGAACTTTGACAATCACAGTGTTAAACATGAGGCAGATCTGGACACTTCGACACAATAATACTAGAAGTATAGAATATTACATGTAATATTTATATTTACAAACATCTTTCAGTGCGTGACACGTGACACCTGTTCTGTGGCCCTCTGCTGGTCACTGACAGAACTGCAGCAGTAATCAGTACAGACACCTTTGTCAGGAATCAAATACAGAACACAAAAACAAGAACTGGACAAAAAGAAGTAAAAAGTGGGAATCCTGAGTGTTCTGACAGAGTCTACAGAGTGTTCTGACAGAGTCTACAGAGTGTTCTGACAGAGTCTACAGAGTCTACAGAGTGTTCTGACAGAGTCTACAGAGTGTTCTGACAGAGTCTACAGAGTGTTCTGACAGAGTCTACAGAGTGTTCTGACAGAGTCTACAGAGTCTACAGAGTGTTCTGACAGAGTCTACAGAGTGTTCTGACAGAGTCTACAGAGTGTTCTGACAGAGTCTACAGAGTGTTCTGACAGAGTCTACAGAGTGTTCTGACAGAGTCTACAGAGTGTTCTGACAGAGTCTACAGAGTGTTCTGACAGAGTCTACAGAGTCTACAGAGTGTTCTGACAGAGTCTACAGAGTGTTCTGACAGAGTCTACAGAGTGTTCTGACAGAGCCCACAGAGTCTACAGAGTGTTCTGACAGAGTCTACAGAGTGTTCTGACAGAGTCTACAGAGTGTTCTGACAGAGTCTACAGAGTGTTCTGACAGAGTCCACAGAGTGTTCTGACAGAGTCCACAGAGTGTTCTGACAGAGTCTACAGAGTGTTCTGACAGAGTCTACAGAGTGTTCTGACAGAGTCTACAGAGTGTTCTGACAGAGTCTACAGAGTGTTCTGACAGAGTCTACAGAGTGTTCTGACAGAGTCTACACAGAGTGTTCTGACAGAGTCTACAGAGTGTTCTGACAGAGTCTACAGAGTGTTCTGACAGAGTCTACAGAGTGTTCTGACAGAGTCCACAGAGTGTTCTGACAGAGTCTACAGAGTGTTCTGACAGAGTCTACAGAGTGTTCTGACAGAGTCCACAGAGTCTACAGAGTGTTCTGACAGAGTCTACAGAGTGTTCTGACAGAGTCTACAGAGTGTTCTGACAGAGTCCACAGAGTGTTCTGACAGAGTCTACAGAGTGTTCTGACAGAGTCTACAGAGTGTTCTGACAGAGTCTACAGAGTGTTCTGACAGAGTCTACAGAGTGTTCTGACAGAGTCTACAGAGTGTTCTGACAGAGTCTACAGAGTGTTCTGACAGAGTCTACAGAGTGTTCTGACAGAGTCCACAGAGTGTTCTGACAGAGTCTACAGAGTGTTCTGACAGAGTCCACAGAGTGTTCTGACAGAGTCTACAGAGTGTTCTGACAGAGTCCACAGAGTGTTCTGACAGAGTCCACAGAGTGTTCTGACAGAGTCTACAGAGTGTTCTGACAGAGTCTACAGAGTGTTCTGACAGAGTCTACAGAGTGTTCTGACAGAGTCTACAGAGTGTTCTGACAGAGTCTACAGAGTGTTCTGACAGAGTCTACAGAGTGTTCTGACAGAGTCTACAGAGTGTTCTGACAGAGTCTACAGAGTGTTCTGACAGAGTCTACAGAGTGTTCTGACAGAGTCTACACAGAGTGTTCTGACAGAGTCTACAGAGTGTTCTGACAGAGTCTAGAGTGTTCTGACAGACTCTACAGAGTGTTCTGAGGGGCGGGGTAGTTTGTGTGGTTGAAGCTGAAACATGGTGATGTGGAACCTTCCTTCTGTTGTTGTTCCCCGGGGGACGTGTGCGACCGTCAAACCAGTCTCTGGAGTCATTGCTCGTATCCGTAATAAGACTCTTCTGAAAACACAAACAGGTCACTGACCGCTGAACTTTGATTCAAGGGGATTCCCCACAACAGGAGAGTTCAAAACTGAAACAAACTTGAACAATAAAATGAGAATGTGTCTGAGAGCGACAGCGCCCTCTGGTGGAGGAGGCGGGGCAGGACTCTCTGTAAAGCTGAGTCTTCATCATTACAGATGTGAGAAGGAGCCCTGAGGGTCACTATCTGACTCTTTGATCTAAAGATAGATACTTTATAGATCCTGTTGGAGCAAAAACACATCCATCCAAACAAACAAAACAAATAAATAGATTGTTCTAAAAAGTTAACAAAGATGTGACATCACAAATACATGATGTAAAACTGTTTCAGAGCCGGAACTAGAGACATGGGTTCGATCCAGACATCTGCTTAAGTTACAGACCCCAGCTTTAAATGCATCTGACCCAAACCACGTGACTGTGAGGAGCACTCACCTGGTGCCTGGGCCCCTCTCTCACAGCCCCGGCTGCTGTCACAGGCCCCTGGGGGCCCGTGCTCCCCAGTCTGTCCCGGGGATCCAGCTGCTCCATCTGGCCCTGGTCTGCCCTGCTCTCCCTGAGGCCCTGGGGGTCCCAATGAGGACTCACCAGCAGAACCTGAAGACAAAGAGGGGTTAGGATGAGAGAGAGGCCAGAGAGAGACCAGAGAGAGGCCAGAGAGAGGCCAGAGAGAGGCCAGAGAGAGACCAGAGAGAGGCCAGAGAGAGGCCAGAGAGAGGCCAGAGAGAGGCCAGAGAGAGACCAGAGAGAGACCAGAAAGAGACCAGAGAGAGACCAGAGAGAGACCAGAGAGAGGCCAGAGAGAGGCCAGAGAGAGGCCAGAGAGAGGCCAGAGAGAGACCAGAGAGAGGCCAGAGAGAGGCCAGAGAGAGGCCAGAGAGAGGCCAGAGAGATGCCAGAGAGAGGCCAGAGAGAGACCAGAGAGAGGCCAGAGAGAGACCAGAGAGAGACCAGAGAGAGGCCAGAGAGAGGCCAGAGAGAGGCCAGAGAGAGACCAGAGAGAGGCCAGAGAGAGGCCAGAGAGAGACCAGAGAGAGGCCAGAGAGAGACCAGAGAGAGACCAGAAAGAGACCAGAGAGAGACCAGAGAGAGACCAGAGAGAGACCAGAGAGAGGCCACTCACCTGCAAAGCCTTTGATCCCTGGGGGCCCCTGCACATTGGGCCCTGGGTCTCCCTTTGCTCCGTTCGGACCCCTCCTCCCTGTGACACAAAAGTTAAATCTCCCGTTTAAGATAAATGTTTTTCAATGATTCAAAGCCACAATCAACCCCAGAACTAAAGCTACAGACCTGGGGCAGATGTGGCTGAGGCTACAGACCTGGGGCAGATGTGGCTGAGACTACAGACCTGGGGCAGATGTGGCTGCAGACCTAACTTGAGGATTAGACTGACCTTGCTCTCCAGGGTATCCCGGGCGTCCTGGTCGGCCTCTGGTCCCCACATTGCCTGTGGCCCCTCTGGAGCCTGGGGGACCCCTGGGGCCTGGGATTCCCGGTTCTCCTGGAGGCCCCACTGGGTCCTGGACCGGGGCAGGTTTACGGCTCATGTCATTGATGAGAAGGTCGAGTTTGAGGACCTCCTCTGGACAGAGAGGAAGAGTGATCAGCAGGAGCAAGACTGAGTGATCAGCAGGAGCAAGACTGAGTGATCAGCAGGAGCAAGACTGAGTGATCAGCAGGAGCAAGACTGAGTGATCAGCAGGAGCAAGACTGAGTGATAAGCAGGAGCAAGAGCGAGTGATAAGCAGGAGCAAGAAAACCTCTCCCTCTACACCTGCCCCTCCCTCTAGACCCCTGGACCATGTGGACCCTGGACACACATTGTACTTCCTGTAGAATGAGAGACTCACTGTGGACCATGTGCTCACAGGCCTCAGTGACGAGCTGCAGGATCAGAGCCATGGACTGAGGCTCCCCCTGAAGACAGACACACACACACACACACACACAGACACACACACACACACACACACACACACACACAATACAGACACACACACACACACACAGAGACTGTGTTATCATCATGTCAAACAATGTTCTGTTCAGTTATATTACAATACATTTATATTTGTGTTTCCCTCTCTCTTTGTATGTTTGTGTGTGTGTCTCATATCGCTCTGTTTCTCTCTCTGTGTGTGTGTGTCTCATATCGCTCTGTCTCTCTGTGTGTGTGTGTGTGTGTGTGTGTCTCATATCGCTCTGTCTCTCTGTGTTTGTGTGTGTGTATGTGTGTGTCTTTCTCGTTCTGTATGTGTGATTCGCTGTGTGTGTGCGTTCATCTCCCTCTCTCTCGCACTATGGATGTATCTCTCTCTCTCTGTGTGTGTTAGTGTGTGCGTGCGTTTGTGTGTATTTCTCTCTCGTTCTGTGTGTGTCTCTCTCTGTTTGTCTAGCTCTCTCCTTCTGTGTGTGTGTGTCTGTGCGTCCATGTGTGTGTTTGTGCGTGTGTGTGCGTCCGTGCGTGTCTGTGCGTCCGTGTGTGTGTGCGTGTGTGTGTGCGTGTGTGCGTGTGTGCGTGTGTGTGTGTGTACCTTCTCTCCTCTCTCTCCCTTGTTGCCGGGTAGACCCTATGAACACAAAGTTTCCATTACAGTTTCCACATAAACGATGAAGATGAAGATGAAGGTTCTCACCGTGGGCCCCACCGTCCCCCCGAGGCCCCTGTCCCCCACAGGACCTGGATGTCCCGGGATACCCTGGAACCCCTGAGGAGAAAGACCAGGCTGAGACAGAGGCTGAGGCTGAGGCTGAGGCTGAGGCTGAGGCAGAAGCTGAGGTTGAGGCTGAGACAGAGGCTGAGACTGAGGCTGAGGCTGAGGCTGAGGCTGAGACTGAGGCTGAGACTGAGACTGAGACTGAGGCTGAGGCTGAGGCTGAGGCTGAGACAGAGGCTGAGACAGAGGCTGAGGCTGAGACAGAGGCTGAGGCTGAGGCTGAGACAGAGGCTGAGGCTGAGACAGAGGCTGAGGCTGAGGCTGAGACAGAGGCTGAGGCTGAGACTGAGGCTGAGGCTGAGGCTGAGGCTGAGACTGAGGTTGAGGCTGAGACAGAGGCTGAGGCTGAGACAGAGGCTGAGGCTGAGACAGAGGCTGAGGCTGAGACAGAGGCTGAGACAGAGGCTGAGGCTGAGACAGAGGCTGAGACAGAGGCTGAGGCTGAGACAGAGGCTGAGGCTGAGACAGAGGCTGAGACAGAGGCTGAGGCTGAGACAGAGGCTGAGGCTGAGGCTGAGGCTGAGACAGAGGCTGAGACTGAGACTGAGACTGAGGCTGAGGCTGAGGCTGAGGCTGAGACAGAGGCTGAGGCTGAGGCTGAGACAGAGGCTGAGACAGAGGCTGAGGCTGAGACAGAGGCTGAGACAGAGGCTGAGACAGAGGCTGAGGCTGAGGCTGAGATTGAGGCTGAGACAGAGGCTGAGGCTGAGGCTGAGGCTGAGACAGAGGCTGAGACAGAGGCTGAGGCTGAGACAGAGGCTGAGACAGAGGCTGAGGCTGAGACAGAGGCTGAGGCTGAGATTGAGGCTGAGACAGAGGCTGAGGCTGAGACAGAGGCTGAGGCTGAGGCTGAGACAGAGGCTGAGACTGAGGCTGAGACAGAGGCTGAGGCTGAGGCTGAGACAGAGGCTGAGGCTGAGACAGGGGCTGAGACAGAGGCTGAGGCTGAGGTTGAGGCTGAGACAGAGGCTGAGGCTGAGACTAAGACAGAGGCTGAGGCTGAGGCTGAGACAGAGGCTGAGGCTGAGGCTGAGGCTGAGACAGAGGCTGAGGCAGAGGCTGAGACAGAGGCTGAGACAGAGGCTTAGGCTGAGACAGAGGCGGAGGCTGAGACTGAGAATGAGACAGAGGCTGAGGCTGAGACAGAGGCTGAGGCTGAGACAGAGGCTGAGGTTGAGGCTGAGGCTGAGACAGAGGCTGAGGCTGAGACAGAGGCTGAGGCTGAGACTGAGGTTGAGGCTGAGACAGAGGCCGAGGCTGAGACAGAGGCTGAGGCTGAGACAGAGGCTGAGACAGAAGCTGAGACTGAGGCTGAGACAGAGGCTGAGACAGAGGCTGAGACAGAGGCTGAGGCTGAGACAGAGGCTGAGGCTGAGATTGAGGCTGAGACAGAGGCTGAGGCTGAGACAGAGGCTGAGACAGAGGCTGAGGCTGAGGCTGAGGCTGAGGCTGAGACAGAGGCTGAGACTGAGACTGAGACTGAGACTGAGACTGAGGCTGAGGCTGAGGCTGAGACAGAGGCTGAGGCTGAGACAGAGGCTGAGACAGAGGCTGAGGCTTAGGCTGAGGCTGAGACAGAGGCTGAGGCTGAGGCTGAGGTTGAGGCTGAGACAGAGGCTGAGGCTGAGACTGAGACAGAGGCTGAGGCTGAGGCTGAGGCTGAGGCTGAGACAGAGGCTGAGGCAGAGGCTGAGACAGAGGCTGAGACAGAGGCTGAGACAGAGGCTGAGGCTGAGACAGAGGCGGAGGCTGAGACTGAGGCTGAGACAGAGGCTGAGGCTGAGGCTGAGACAGAGGCTGAGGTTGAGGCTGAGGCTGAGACAGAGGCTGAGGCTGAGACAGAGGCTGAGGCTTAGGCTGAGGCTGAGACAGAGGCTGAGGCTGAGACAGAGGCTGAGGCTGAGGCTGAGATTGAGGCTGAGACAGAGGCTGAGGCTGAGCCAGAGGCTGAGGCTGAGACAGAGGCTGAGGCTGAGGAGGCTGAGGCTGAGGCTGAGACAGAGGCTGAGGCTGAGGCTGAGACAGAGGCTGAGGCTGAGGTTGAGGCTGAGGCTGAGACAGAGGCTGAGGCTGAGACTGAGGTTGAGGCTGAGACAGAGGCTGAGACAGAGGCTGAGACAGAGGCTGAGGCTGAGGTTGAGGCTGAGACAGAGGCTGAGGCTGAGGCTGAGACAGAGGCTGAGGCTGAGGCTGAGGCTGAGGCTGAGACAGAGGCTGAGGCTGAGGCTTAGGCTGAGACAGAGGCTGAGGCTGAGACAGAGGCTGAGACAGAGGCTGAGGTTGAGACAGAGGCTGAGGCTGAGGCTGAGACCGAGGTTGAGGCTGAGACAGAGGCTGAGGCTGAGACAGAGGCTGAGGTTGAGACAGAGGCTGAGGCTGAGACAGAGGCTGAGGTTGAGGCTGAGACAGAGGCTGAGGCTGAGATTGAGGCTGAGACAGAGGCTGAGGCTGAGACAGAGGCTGAGGCTGAGGCTGAGGCTGAGACAGAGGCTGAGACTGAGGCTGAGACAGAGGCTGAGGCTGAGGCTGAGACAGAGGCTGAGACAGAGGCTGAGGCTGAGACAGGGGCTGAGACAGAGGCTGAGGCTGAGGTTGAGGCTGAGACAGAGGCTGAGGCTGAGACTAAGACAGAGGCTGAGGCTGAGGCTGAGGCTGAGACAGAGGCTGAGGCTGAGGCTGAGACAGAGGCTGAGGCAGAGGCTGAGACAGAGGCTGAGACAGAGGCTTAGGCTGAGACAGAGGCGGAGGCTGAGACTGAGGCTGAGACAGAGGCTGAGGCTGAGACAGAGGCTGAGGCTGAGACAGAGGCTGAGGTTGAGGCTGAGGCTGAGACAGAGGCTGAGGCTGAGACAGAGGCTGAGGCTGAGACTGAGGTTGAGGCTGAGACAGAGGCCGAGGCTGAGGCTGAGACAGAGGCTGAGGCTGAGACAGAGGCTGAGACAGAAGCTGAGACTGAGGCTGAGACAGAGGCTGAGACAGAGGCTGAGACAGAGGCTGAGGCTGAGACAGAGGCTGAGGCTGAGATTGAGGCTGAGACAGAGGCTGAGGCTGAGACAGAGGCTGAGACAGAGGCTGAGGCTGAGGCTGAGGCTGAGACAGAGGCTGAGACTGAGACTGAGACTGAGACTGAGACTGGGACAGAGGCTGAGACTGAGGCTGAGGCTGAGACTGAGGCTGAGACTGAGACTGAGACTGAGACTGAGGCTGAGGCTGAGGCTGAGACAGAGGCTGAGGCTGAGGCTGAGACAGAGGCTGAGACAGAGGCTGAGGCTTAGGCTGAGGCTGAGACAGAGGCTGAGACAGAGGCTGAGGCTGAGGTTGAGGCTGAGACAGAGGCTGAGGCTGAGACTGAGACAGAGGCTGAGGCTGAGGCTGAGACAGAGGCTGAGGCTGAGGCTGAGACAGAGGCTGAGGCAGAGGCTGAGACAGAGGCTGAGACAGAGGCTGAGACAGAGGCTGAGGCTGAGGCTGAGACAGAGGCGGAGCCTGAGACTGAGGCTGAGACAGAGGCTGAGGCTGAGACAGAGGCTGAGGCTGAGACAGAGGCTGAGGTTGAGGCTGAGGCTGAGACAGAGGCTGAGACAGAGGCTGAGGCTTAGGCTGAGGCTGAGACAGAGGCTGAGGCTGAGACAGAGGCTGAGGCTGAGATTGAGGCTGAGACAGAGGCTGAGGCTGAGCCAGAGGCTGAGGCTGAGACAGAGGCTGAGGCTGAGACAGAGGCTGAGGCTGAGGCTGAGACAGAGGCTGAGGCTGAGGCTGAGACAGAGGCTGAGGCTGAGGTTGAGGCTGAGGCTGAGACAGAGGCTGAGGCTGAGACTGAGGTTGAGGCTGAGACAGAGGCTGAGACAGAGGCTGAGACAGAGGCTGAGGCTGAGGTTGAGGCTGAGACAGAGGCTGAGGCTGAGGCTGAGACAGAGGCTGAGGCTGAGGCTGAGGCTGAGACAGAGGCTGAGGCTGAGGCTTAGGCTGAGACAGAGGCTGAGGCTGAGACAGAGGCTGAGACAGAGGCTGAGGTTGAGACAGAGGCTGAGGCTGAGACAGAGGCTGAGGCTGAGACAGAGGCTGAGGCTGAGACAGAGGCTGAGGCTGAGGCTGAGACCGAGGTTGAGGCTGAGACAGAGGCTGAGGCTGAGACAGAGGCTGAGGTTGAGACAGAGGCTGAGGCTGAGACAGAGGCTGAGGTTGAGGCTGAGGCTGAGGTTGAGGCTGAGACAGAGGCTGAGGCTGAGGCTGAGGCTGAGACTGAGGTTGAGGCTGAGACAGAGGCTGAGACAGAGGCTGAGGCTGAGACAGAGGCTGAGGCTGAGGCTTAGGCTGAGACAGAGGCTGAGGCTGAGGTTGAGGCTGAGGCTGAGACAGAGGCTGAGGCTGAGGCTGAGACAGAGGCTGAGGCTGAGGCTTAGGCTGAGACAGAGGCTGAGGCTGAGGCTGAGACTGAGGTTGAGGCTGAGACAGAGGCTGAGGCTGAGACAGAGGCTGAGGCTGAGACAGAGGCTGAGGCTTAGGCTGAGACAGAGGCTGAGGCTGAGACAGAGGCTGAGACAGAGGCTGAGACAGAGGCTGAGGCTGAGACAGAGGCTGAGACAGAGGCTGAGGCTGAGGCTGAGGTTGAGGCTGAGGCTGAGACAGAGGCTGAGGCTGAGGTTGAGACTGAGGCTGAGACAGAGGCTGAGGCTGAGGCTGAGGCTGAGACAGAGGCTGAGGCTGAGGTTGAGGCTAAGGCTGAGACAGAGGCTGAGGCTGAGGTTGAGGCTGAGGCTGAGACACAGGTTGAGGCTGAGACAGAGGCTGAGGCTGAGGCCGAGGCTGAGACAGAGGCTGAGACAGAGGCTGAGACAGAGGCTGAGGCTGAGACAGAGGCTGAGACAGAGGCTGAGGCTGAGGCTGAGACAGAGGCTGAGGCTGAGGTTGAGGCTGAGGCTGAGACAGAGGCTGAGGCTGAGACAGAGGCTGAGACAGAGGCTGAGGTTGAGGCTGAGGCTGAGACAGAGGCTGAGGCTGAGGCTGAGGTTGAGGCTGAGGCTGAGACAGAGGCTGAGGCTGAGGTTGAGGCTGAGGCTGAGGCTGAGACTGAGGCTGAGGTTGAGGCTGAGACTGAGGTTGAGGCTGAGGCTGAGGTTGAGGCTGAGACTGGTCTGGAACATTCTCTTTGACAGCAGTGATGGTGTATGTCTCTGTATGGATGTGTTTCTGAGGGACCAGAGACCAGTCTTTGTGTGTCTGTGTGTGTGTGTGTGTATCTCTGTGTGGGTCTCTGTGTGTGTGTCTTACCCGGGGGCCCGTAGGACCTGGGGGCCCCTGACTTCCCTCCATTCCTCTGATTCCCTGGAACATAAACACATTAGAGAACAATGTTAGCTGTGGGTTCATGTGTTTAAATGTGTCAGACCTGTGGCCCCTGGGGGCCCTCCTCTCCCTTTGGCCCCTGAGCTCCCTGAGGCCCCTGCAACAAACACACAACATCAGCATTTACTCTAGTCACATGACGTGAGACTCAAACCAAACCTGTTCTCCGGTCTGACCAGGGTCTCCTTTGTCCCCCCGCACTCCTGGAGGCCCCTGAGGACACACATCACGTCATGATGATGTCACTGTGACATCACTGTGACATCACTGTGTGACATCACTGTGACATCACAATGACACCTGTCACTCACAATCTTCCCCTGCACCGTCAGCCCCTGGGGGCCCCTGCTGCCCGCTGACCCCAGAGCTCCCTCCACTCCAGAGGCCCCTGAGGGCCCCGCCTCCCCCTGCAACAACACAACAGATTCAGCTAATTTGTCAAACCACATTGGAATACACGTGCAAGAGTTCCCAGAGTGCACCAGTGCATAAATAAAACGAACTAAAACAATTGTCAGTGTAAAGTGGATCAAACTAAAACAGTTTCAGTCCAAGATCATTAAAGAGCTTTGTTCAATAACAAGATGTCCAGCACTTCAACGAGAATCTTCTGTCAGAGGGAAGAAGCTGGAACACGGCCTTTTCAAAGACCAGAAGTGTCAGTGATTAGATCTGCATACACACACACACACAGATGCAGTCAGGAACGCACAAACACACACACCTTCACTCCTGGCTCGCCCTTGTCTCCTTTTTCTCCTCTGGGTCCCGGTCGGCCCTGGACACAACATATAAAAAGGTTTTAAACTGCAGAGAGACCACAGAGACCAGAGAGACCAGACTTGGGTATGGAGACTTATGAGGAATGAATGAATAAATATTTTATTTAAGTGTCATACACACACAGTGTGTGCCCAGCCCTCATGGGCTTATATGACACTATCAACAAAAGGAAGATACAGCCACACCTGTGGACAAAGATATTACTGTCTCTCTGGATATAAAGTCCTTTGTCTCAGAGTCCAGGCCTTTTCAACAAAGTTTGCCACTGCAAAAAATTCATTTTCAAATATCCAACACAGTCTATCACCATCAGAAAGCCAAAACAAATCAGGATTTTTACATTGAATCTTTGTGAACAATACCATTCTTAGGTCATTGTACATAGGACAGTAAAACAAACAATGAAATTCATCCTCCACTGCTCCCAGCTCATATAGAGTCACACAGAGACACACAGAGCACACAGAGTCACACAGAGCACAGAGTCACACAGTCACACAGAGTCACACAGAGCACACAGAGTCACACAGTCACACAGAGTCACACAGAGCACACAGAGCACACAGAGTCACACAGAGCACACAGAGTCACACAGAGTCACACAGAGTTACTTACTTACTTACAGAGTCACACAGAGTCACACAGAGTCACACAGAGCACACAGAGCACACAGAGTCACACAGAGTCACACAGAGCACACCGAGCACACATAGTCACACAGAGCACACAGAGTCACACAGAGTCACACAGAGCACACAGAGCACACATAGTCACACAGAGCACACAGAGTCACACAGAGTCACACAAAAAATAACAATTGTAAACCGCTTTGTGACTCTGGTCTGTGAAAGGCGGTATATAAATAAAGCTTACTTACTTACTTACAGAGTCACACAGAGCACACCGAGTCACACAGAGTCACACAGAGCACACAGAGTCACACAGAGTCACACAGAGTCACACAGAGCACACAGAGTCACACAGAGTCACACAGAGCACACAGAGTCACACAGAGTCACACAGAGTCACACAGTCGACCATCCAGTGGAACCCCCTTGTAACGCCCACCTCAACCTCAAGAGGCAGCACTCCTGCTCTGAGCTGAGCACAGAGACCTCTGCCCTTTTCTCAGATTAGATTTTAAATACATTTCTGTGGAAAAACAGTTCTCAAACTGGACATAAGTTCTGAGCTTAGTTTTCTTCAAAACTTTAACTTTCCATTCTTTCTCATAGATATCATTTAACATTTTCCTTAGAGTTACCAATTTACATTGTAAATTATTTTGAAATAAGTATCCGAATTCAACTTTTGACAATATTTGCAGCATTTCTTTGAACCAGGGATGTCTGTGACTTCTGTCCCAGTTAAAAATCTTCCGTGTAATTCTGTCTTCTGGTAAGTAAGTAAGTAAGTAAGTAAGCTTTATTTATATACCACCTTTCACAGACCAGAGTCACAAAGCGGTTTACAATTGTTATTTTTTGGGCACTTTCCTCTCACTCCACACAGAGATGGGAGCGGGGTAAACCGCTCCCATCTCTGGTAAGGACTATGAGGACCGGGGGATGGAGACTTGTGTTGCTGGTGTGGGGTGTGATGTCATACGTTTGCTCCAGTGGGTCCCGGGGGTCCGGGTGTGTCGGAAGAACAGGAGCAGGAGTACGGCTGAGCGGGACAGCTCTCCTCGTCCCTCTGAGGACACACATGACCGACTTTAAATATGAGGACACACACAGAGAGACACACACAGACACACACACAGAGAGACACACACAGAGAGACACACAGAGACACACAGAGACACACAGAGACACACACAGAGACACACACAGAGGACACACACAGACACACACAGAGGACACACACAGAGACACACACAGAGACACACACAGAGGACACACAGAGACACACACAGAGGACACACAGAGACACACACAGAGAGACACACGGAACACACACAGAGGACACACAGAGACACACACAGAGACACACACAGAGACACACAGAGACACACACAGAGGACACACAGAGACACACACAGAGACACACACAGAGACATACACAGAGACACACACAGAGGACACACAGAGACACACACAGAGAGACACACAGAACACACACAGAGGACACACAGAGACACACACAGAGACACACACAGAGACACACAGAGACACACACAGAGACACACACAGAGGACACACAGAGACACACAAAGACACACACAGAGGACACACAGAGACACACACAGAGACACACACAGAGACACACACAGAGGACACACACAGACACACACAGAGGTCACACACAGAGACACACACAGAGACACACACAGAGGACACACAGAGACACACACAGAGAGACACACAGAACACACACAGAGGACACACAGAGACACACACAGAGACACACACAGAGACACACAGAGACACACACAGAGACACACACAGAGGACACACAGAGACACACAAAGACACACACAGAGGACACACAGAGACACACACAGGGACACACACAGAGACACACACAGAGGACACACACAGACACACACAGAGGACACACACAGAGACACACACAGAGACACACACAGAGACACACACAGAGGACACACAGAGACACACACAGAGAGACACACAGAGAGACACACGGAACACACACAGAGGACACACAGAGACACACACAGAGACACACAGAGACACACACAGAGACACACACAGAGGACACACAGAGACACACAGAGACACACACAGAGGACACACAGAGACACACACAGAGACACACACAGAGACACACACAGAGACATACACAGAGACACACACAGAGGACACACAGAGACACACACAGAGAGACACACAGAGGACACACAGAGACACACACAGAGACACACACAGAGACACACAGAGACACACACAGAGGACACACAGAGACACACAAAGACACACACAGAGGACACACAGAGACACACACAGAGACACACACAGAGACATACACAGAGACACACACAAAGGACACACAGAGACACACACAGAGACACACACAGAGACACACACAGAGGACACACACAGACACACACAGAGACATACACAGAGACACACACAGAGACACACAGAGACACACACCGCTGAGGGCACGTCACAGCAGGTGTCCTCTGAAGACCACGTTGTGTTACAGATGATCTCAAAACTCTGCAACTGAAACTGGAAACAAAAGACTTTATATTTATACAGAAGAGAGACCAGAGAGAGACCAGAGAGAGACCAGAGAGAGACCAGAGAGAGATCAGAGAGAGACCAGAGAGAGACCAGAGAGAGACCAGAGAGAGAGACCAGAGAGAGACCAGAGAGAGACCAGAGAGAGACCAGAGAGAGACCAGAGAGAGAGACCAGAGAGAGACCAGAGAGAGACCAGAGAGAGACCAGAGAGAGAGACCAGAGAGAGACCAGAGAGAGAGACCAGAGAGAGACCAGAGAGAGACCAGAGAGATTTACCGGAGCAGATCCAGGGCCTCTCGTTCCGCTCAGTTTCCCCAACATCTCGAAGCCGTCCGTGGGCAGAGCTCCTCCAGGACGAGCCGCTCTCTCCCCCACAGGAAGACAGTCGATGGAGAGGGAGACCGAGACCTGGGTGACACTGAGGTGGACCTGAGGGTGAGAGAGAGGGGAGGAGGGGGGAGAGGGGGAGAGAGAGGGGAGAAGGAGAGAGAGGGGGGAGACAGGTGAGGAGGGGGAGAGGGGAAGGAGAGAGAGGGGAGAGAGTGGGGAGGAGGGGGAGAGGGGAACGAGAGAGAGGGGAGAGAGAGGGGAGGAGGGGGAGAGAGGGGGGAGGGAGAGGGGGGGAGACAGGGGAGAGAGAGGTTAGGAGGGGGGAGACAGGGGAGAGAGAGGTAAGAGAGAGTTAGCAGCACTTGTTTACAATACGTTGTTTTTTTTACAGCCAGGGAGATATTACCAACATTTATTGGTCAACAAAATATGTTATTATTCCATTTTAATATGAATAAAAACAATGATATTTTAATGTATTTTTTCAACTTAAGTCTCAGCCGTTATGTTCACGCACCTGTACTACACTATACTTCAGTACGCTAAAGAGTACATAAGAATCCTTCAGAGTAATCGAGTACCCCTTAAGAGTATTGGAGTACCCTTAAGAGTACTGGAGTACCCTTAAGAGTACTCGAGTACCCTTAAGAGTACTGGAGTACCCGTCCTCACCTTGTGGAAGCTTCCGTAGAACAGCCTGTGCACCTGCGGCTGGTCAAAGGTCACCTCCTGCACCTCCCCTCTGTAATCCAGACTCCTGAAGACCAGGAGCTTCACCGAGGCTGCACACACACACAGTCAGAGAGGGGGAGAAAGGGGGGAGAGAGAGGGGAGAGAGAGGGAGACAGGGGAGAGAGAGGAGCTTCACTGAGGCTGCACATACACACAGTCAGAGAGGGGGAGAGAGGGGGGAGAGAGAGGGAGACAGGGGAGAGAGAGGAGCTTCACTGAGGCTGCACATACACAGTCAGAGAGGGGGAGAGAGGGGAGAGAGAGGAGCATCACTGAGGCTGCATACACACACAATCAGAGGGGGAGAGAGGGGGGAGAGAGGGGGGAGAGAGAGGGAGACAGGGGAGAGAGGAGCTTCACCGAGGCTGCAGACACACAGTCAGAGAGGGGGAGAGAGGGGAGAGAGACTGGGAGAGAGAGGAGCTTCACCGAGGCTGCAGACAGACACAGTCAGAGGGGGAGAGAGGGGGGCGAGAGGACACTAGAGGACAGTCAGAGGGGGAGAGAGGGGGGAGAGAGAGGGGAGAGAGGAGCTTCACTGAGGCTGCAAACACACACAGTCAGAGAGGGGGAGAGAGGGGGGAGAGAGAGGGAGACAGGGGAGAGAGAGGAGCTTCACTGAGGCTGCACATACACAGTCAGAGAGGGGGAGAGAGGGGTGAGAGAGAGGGAGAGAGAGGGGAGAGAGAGGAGCATCACTGAGGCTGCAGACACACACAATCAGAGGGGGAGAGAGGGGGGAGAGAGAGGGAGACAGGGGAGAGAGGAGCTTCACCGAGGCTGCAGACACACAGTCAGAGAGGGGGAGAGAGGGGAGAGAGACTGGGAGAGAGAGGAGCTTCACCGAGGCTGCAGACAGACACAGTCAGAGGGGGAGAGAGGGGGGCGAGAGGACACTAGAGGACAGTCAGAGGGGGAGAGAGGGGGGAGAGAGGGGGAGAGAGGAGCTTCACTGAGGCTGCAAACACACACAGTCAGAGAGGGGGAGAGAGGGGGGAGAGAGAGGGAGACAGGGGAGAGAGAGGAGCTTCACTGAGGCTGCACATACACAGTCAGAGAGGGGGAGAGAGGGGTGAGAGAGAGGGAGAGAGAGGGGGAGAGAGAGGAGCATCACTGAGGCTGCAGACACACACAATCAGAGGGGGAGAGAGGGGGGAGAGAGAGGGAGACAGGGGAGAGAGGAGCTTCACCGAGGCTGCAGACACACAGTCAGAGAGGGGGAGAGAGGGGAGAGAGACTGGGAGAGAGAGGAGCTTCACCGAGGCTGCAGACAGACACAGTCAGAGGGGGAGAGAGGGGGGCGAGAGGACACTAGAGGACAGTCAGAGGGGGAGAGAGGGGGGGAGAGAGGGGGAGAGAGGAGCTTCACTGAGGCTGCAAACACACACAGTCAGAGAGGGGGAGAGAGGGGGGAGAGAGAGGGAGACAGGGGAGAGAGAGGAGCTTCACTGAGGCTGCACATACACAGTCAGAGAGGGGGAGAGAGGGGTGAGAGAGAGGGAGAGAGAGGGGAGAGAGAGGAGCTTCACTGAGGCTGCAGACACACACAGTCAGAGGGGGAGAGAGGGGGGAGAGAGGGGAGAGAGGAGCTTCACCGAGGCTGCACACACACACAGTCAGAGAGGGGGAGAGAGGGGGGAGAGAGAGGGAGAGAGAGGGGAGAGAGAGGAGCTTCACCGAGGCTGCAGACAGACACAGTCAGAGGGGGAGAGAGGGGGGCGAGAGGACACGAGAGGAGAGTCAGAGGGGGAGAGAGGAGCTTCACTGAGGCTGCAAACACACACAGTCAGAGAGGGGGAGAGAGGGGGGAGAGAGGAGCTTCACTGAGGCTGCAGACACATACAGTCAGAGGGGGAGACAGGGGGGAGAGAGGGGGAGAGATGAGCTTCACTGAGGCTGCAGACACACACAGTCAGAGAGGGGGAGAGAGGGGGGAGAGAGGAGCTTCACTGAGGCTGCAGACACATACAGTCAGAGGGGGAGACAGGGGGGAGAGAGGGGGAGAGATGAGCTTCACTGAGGCTGCAGACACATACAGTCAGAAGGGGAGACAGGGGGGAGAGAGGGGGAGAGGGGGAGACCAGGAGCTTCACCGAGGCTGCAGACACACACAGTCAGAGGCGGAGAGAGGGAGAGAGGGGGGAAATGAGAGGGGGAGAGAGGGTGAGAGGGGGGAGACAGGGGAGAGAGAGGGGAGAGAGGGGGAGACAGGGGGAGAGGGGGTGAGAGGGTGAGAGGAGAGAAAGGAGTACAGGGAGAGGGGAAAAAGGAGAGAGAGAGGAGAGGGGGAGAGAAAAGAGACAAAGAGAGAGGACCGGAGGAGCGAGCTGAGAGGGGGGTGAGAGAGGAGAGAGACAAGGTGACGGGGAGAGAGAGGAGGGGAAAGGGGAGTGAGAAGAGAGGGGGGAGAGAGGGAGGGAGGGGGAGAGAGGAGAGATAGGAAGGGAAAGGGGCGAGAGATGGCGAGTTAGAGGGAGAGGATGAGAGAGAAGGAGACAGGTTGAGGGAGACGGGGGTGAGGGAGACTCACGGTCCAGAACGACGGCCATCTTGGGTTTGTGGGCGGAGTCTGTGAGTTGCCACAGAGCGAAGGGCTCAGGGGGCGTGTCCTGAAGGAGACGAAACGAAATACTGATCGTGAAGTCTGGAGAGAGACCGAGGGGGTGGATCAGGCTGTGGAGAGAGGAAAGAGGAGGTGAGACGAGGAGAGGAGGAGAGGAGGTGAGAGGAGGAGAGAGGAGGTGAGAGGAGGAGAGGAGGAGAGGAGGTGAGAGGAGGAGAGAGGAGAAGGGAGGAGGAGAGAGGAGGACTTCTAGGAGCTCAGTTGTGGTTGTGAACTTGTCCCTCATCTACTAGAGGGCGTCTAGTCCTCTGTGTCCTCTGTGTCACCTGGTCCTCTGTGTCACCTGTCCTCTGTGTCACCTGTCCTCTGTGTCACCTGGTCCTCTGTGTCACCTGTCCTCTGTGTCACCTGTCCTCTGTGTCACCTGGTTTTCTGGGTCACCTGGTCCTCTGTCACCTGGTCCTCTGTGTCACCTGTCCTCTGTGTCACCTGGTCCTCTGTGTCATCTAGTCATCGGTGTGACCTGGTTCTTTGTGTCACCTGTCCTCTGTGTCACCTGGTCCTCTCTGTGTCACCTGGTTCTCTGTGTCACCTGGTCCTCTGTGTCACCTGGTCCTCTCTGTGTCACCTGGTTCTCTGTGTCACCTGGTCCTCTGTGTCACCTGGTCCTCTCTGTGTCACCTGGTTCTCTGTGTCACCTGGTCCTCTGTGTCACCTGGTCCTCTGTGTCACCTGGTCCTCTGTGTCACGTGGTCCTCTGTGTCACCTGGTCGTCTGTGTCACCTGGTCCTCTGTGTCACCTGGTCCTCTGTGTCACCTGGTCCTCTCTGTGTCACCTGGTCCTCTCTGTCACCTGGTCCTCTCTGTGTCACCTGGTCCTCTCTGTCACCTGGTCCTCTCTGTGTCACCTGGTCCTCTCTGTCACCTGGTCCTCTGTGTCACCTGGTCCTCTCTGTCACCTGGTCCTCGTGTGACCTGGTCCTCTCTGTGTCACCTGTCCTCTGTGTCACCTGGTCCTCTGTGTCACCTGGTCCTCTCTGTGTCACCTGGTCCTCTGTGTCACCTGGTCCTCTGTGTCACCTGGTCCTCTGTGTCAACTGGTTCTCTCTGTGTCACCTGGTCCTCTCTGTGTCACCTAGTCCTCTGTGTCACCTGGTCCTCTGTGTCACCTGGTCCTCTGTGTCACCTGGTTCTCTGTCACCTGGTCCTCTGTGTCACCTGGTCCTCTCTGTGTCACCTGGTCCTCTCTGTCACCTGGTCCTCTGTGTGACCTGGTCCTTTGTGTCACCTGGTTCTCTGTGTCACCTGGTCCTCTGTCACCTGGTCCTCTTTCACCTGGTCCTCTCTGTCACCTGGTCCTCTGTCACCTGGTTCTCTGCCTCAGCTCTGCGTTGCGGTGCACAATGTACGATGGCAGTGAGGTGAAGACGAAGGGCTCAGCAGAGACCCCCTGCAGAGACGAGTGTTCGGTCCGAGTCAGACCGAAGACCTGCATCATGTCAAAGCCTGGAAAACACCATCAATGTGGACCTGCACCAGGCCAAAGACCAGTCTCAGGTCTCTCTCTGGTCTCTTTCTGGTCTCTCTCTGGTCTCTCTCTGGTCTCTCTCTGGTCTCTCTCTGGTCTCTCTCTGGTCTCTGGTCTCTCTCTGGTCTCTCTCTGGTCTCTCTCTGGTCTCTCTCTGGTCTCTCTCTGGTCTCTCTCTGGTCTCTCTCTGGTCTCTCTCTGGTCTCTGGTCTCTCTCTGGTCTCTCTCTGGTCTCTCTCTGGTCTCTCTCTGGTCTCTCTCTGGTCTCTCACCTCTGACGATCTTGTTCCGGATGGTGACTTCAGGACAAACTGATGCAGAAAAAAATAGTTCAAGTTTTATTCAAACAAAGATGAATGTTTTCAAACTTTACCTTCAGTGTGGACCGGGACCAGCGGGGGAACAGGTCTGACCGGAGCTGAGGCTGGAAGACACACAACTGAGACCAGGGGGAGACCAGAGGAAGACCAGAGAGACCAGAGAGAGAGACCAGAGAGAGACCAGAGAGAGACCACACACACACACAGACCTGTGGGGTGCAGGATGCTGACAGCAGCGCCCTCTACTGTTCCCAGTCGGCAGAACACACTGATCCTGTACAAAGTCTCAGGACGAAGACTGGAGAAACAGTGACTGGTGCTGGACGAGTCCACGGTCTGCTCCAGTCTGGGGTCTGAGGACAGAGAAGGGACTAGACCAGGGTCTG